AACTTGACGAGAAAGACCGTCTTGCCAGGCCACATATCGCCCTCCGCAACCGTATGCGCTGTAACTTTTGCTGGGAAATCAGCTCCGTCGCAGACACCTTCTACAATACCGGCTACGTAGGCAGCGCAGTTCAGCTGGCTCATTTCTTTGGGTACGCTGATGTATTGATTCACGAGAGGTTCGTTATCGATGATCATGTATTCTTCTGGTGTTTCGGGGTTGGCGGATTTCTCGAGTCGGTCTGCTTGACGGCCGAAGAGGTGCTGCCAGATATTTTGCTTTATGAAGTGGAGGAGGGCAATGATGCTGAGTGGTCGGGTCTGCGTACGCGCTGGTTCGCGGAAGAGGAGAAGATCGAGGAGTTTGAGACCGATAGAGTGGCCTTGAAGATTAAGTCTGCACACAATTAGCTCCCGCACTCCATAAACAGGGAGTATTGAACGTACCGCTGTTCAAGCTCCTGAATGCCCTTGACCCTTCTCTGCGCATACGTCACCATCTCTCCAAACAGATACGCAAAGCTCGCCTGGCTCAGCTCCGCCGTCTTGGTCCTATTCAACGGGCGACTGTAGATATTCTTTCCATTGCTGGGATATCGCAGGCCTGGGTCTTTGCTGCCGCTTGGTGTAGGCGTTGGCGCCACGGTGTTGGGGGGTTGGAGGTTGCTCATGATGGACTGTGAGGCTGTCGCTGGAGCATTTCGCAGCTTCTGGTATTATTTGGGGTGTTCGTAGAGCTTGTAGGCGAGATAGATCTAGCGTGGTTGTCGTGCTTGGAGGTTCGTTGTCGCACGTGTAAACGTGGGCTTGTCTGGAGGGTGAGGTAGAGGGAGGTGACATATGTGGAGACCTGAGCTACTGACCGAGCTACACCGAGAGTTCACCTTGATAAGTCAAATATCACAACGGCACTTAAACATTTGTCAACATCTGCAAAACAAAAGCAAGAATTTTAATTAATGAAAGTGAGGCATGGACTCATGAATTACTAATTATGCTCTAAGACTACGTGTTCCGTCATCAAATTATAGCAAGAAGCAAAATCCAGCAATTATCATCCTAGTGCAACCCCAAGCATCACCCCCCTCGGCGATGCATTTGTCGAAGTCCTTAGACTACTGGACAGTAACGACCTTGGACTTTAGCTCTTTCTGTTTCACAGTAGCCTCAATCCAGCCAGAAGCATCCTCAAGCGCCTTTCGAGGACTCTTCTTGCGCTTGAGCAAGAACCCCTGAATCTCCGCAGGCGAGAACATACCCTCTGGGATCAGTTGGCCAAACTCCTGCGAGATCTCCTTGAGTTCTTCAATCGACAGAGTCGTCTCTTTTCCTTTGTTATCCACGAGACTGTGGATACTGCCATTCTGTGCCTTGGGTGCGGCGGGTTTGGTCTTGGACATTGGGACTGGCTTGTTACGCGACATCTCGTACATCCGGTAAAAGAGCTCCGATGCCTGTGCGCTGGTTGCGTTCTTGAACCCAACTTGCACATCGACTCGTCCCGGTCGAATGAGAGCCTCGTCGAGTGACTCGGGCTTGTTGGTGGTCATGATGAGGATGCGACCTTCATGCGAAGCAACACCATCAATGGCGTTGAGAAGTCCAGAAAGTGAAATACTTTCCACAGTCAAGATGTTATTAGCACCCCTGTTGCTAGTATTCTCTCTGTCTCTTCTGTTTCTTCTTCGCTTTCTGCGTCTCTTTCTGTCCTCCTCAGAGCTGTCGGTATCGCTGTCGGAGGAGTCTTTGGCCTTTTTGGATTTCTTCTTTTCTTTCTTCTCCGCCTTTTCTGGCTTTTTGCCTTTGGCATCGCCGCTCTTTTCTCCGGTGGCGTCTTCGTTCTCTTCTTCGTCTTCTTCGCCGTTGGGACGACGAAGACCAGCGGTGTCGATGTCTTCCAAAAGGACAACACATCGGCGAGGAAGTCTAGTGAACAAGACAGCCAGATCCTCTTCGCTGACGGTAGGATCTTGAAGACTGATGACATAGATATCAATACCGAAAACGCCAGCCAATGCAAACGAAAAACTTGTCTTGCCAGTGCCGGGTGGTCCGTGAAAGAGATAACCACGGCGGAGAGGAATACCTCGAGAAGCATACCACTTAGGAGTTCCGGGGTGCAAATACTCGTTGATGTCTCGCAAAACGTCGTGTTTCTCTTCATGCTCGAGAATCACAGTTCTCATTGGTCTGATGGGTCTCCGGGCAACTTGCTGCCACATGCTCCAAGCATCACGGCGACTTTCTTTTATTCTGGGGCGGTAGATGGTGGTCTTGTGGCGAGTGTCGAGGAAATAGGCTGTTTTGGCATCTGCAAGAAGTTGCTTGATAGGGTCTGCAAATCGTTAGTTCAGTGTCGATTCAAGATCAGCGATATTAACTTGCCAATAGACCTGCCGAAGCAAGATATTTTGAGCTCCTCAACATCCTTGGTCCCTCCCCAACCGTTGGTACTTTGTAGAGATTCTCTCTTCCGGTTGACCCGAAAGTACGTCCTGTCATGCCAAAACCCTGTCGTGCCCATGGCTGGGACATATCGTGGGTTCTGGGGGATGTCAGTGACTGCAAAAGGCACGAATACAAAAACTTACACATCTAGCTGCGTCGCTGGCAAAGTTGAGATACTTAGGCGAATCTTCACCGTCTTCGACAGTATTTGTGGCTAACACATCTGCTTGATCTTCTTCCTCGTCCCAAGCACTCTTGAAGACGGTCTGGGCTGTGAGATGACGATTAGACGCAATGTCTTGCTGCTCCGACAAGAACTGCATGAGCGTGGAATAGATCTGGTCATTCTCGCTAACGTATATGGTACACCTGAAATATGTGTGAACAAAGTTATCGATCGCTGCATATAGCTGATCAAAGAGTTTGGACAAGCCCCAGATACAACCGAGAAGGGTGAGGAGGATAGATGGATCAAGACCCAACTGAGCGCCCACGAAGCGGTAGACGAATAGGAAGAGCTGGAGCAGAGGCGATGCTTGGCCTGCGGAAACAAGAAAAGTGTCCATTATTCCGGGGAATGATGAGGAAGAGTTCAGTGGTTGGGCGGTGCTGTTCATGGCTTGGAGAAAAGGAGACCAGCCCATCTTGCTCATCTTTGTGATGTCCATGGTGTATGAGGGAGTGAAGTTGTTCAGGCCGTGATAAGGCAGGTTTGGATTGGATTCAGGCCTGCAGAGGCTCTTCTTCCTGTTGGAGAAGATGTTTATGCGGATGCAAGTGCTTGAACGACTGATCCAATAAAGGCCCTTTCTTCCTCGGACGAGTTAGATGCAAGACTGTGCTGGCAGGGTCACACAACTTCTCCTCGGGGCCTCCTTTTATACCTGAAATGAGGAAGAGAAGAAGAGCATATGACCTGACCCTCGGGTCCGGCCCAGCTCTGAGTTGGTGTTGGTTGAAGAGATGCTGTGCTGTTGCTGTTGCTACGGGTGAAGTGAAGATCAAGCTGCGATTAAGAGAGGCTCTAGAATGCCTTGTTATGCACTTTGGGCGCGTAGTATGCAGGTTCAATCCATAGAAAGAACCCTGTATTTATATCAGTGAGATAATGTAGGTTGGTTTCCTCCTGGTCTGAATCCTCTGGGAAGTGGTTAGGTCATGTTGGGTCATGTTACCAAACAAAAAAGCACACTTGTTTTCTTTTTTGCCCTACGTACATGACAATTACCTAGGTAGGTAGTTTACGCACTTCCCGTACGTACACACATAATCTGCCTAGATTTTAGGCTCTTCCAAGACTGTTTATATTCCTGTTTTCGTGAATACGTGCACGGGGGGTTTGATTCACCCTAAAATAGACTATGTTACTTTGTGTAACGATCGAGTACTGTCCCGGACCAAACCATGACCAAGTGTGACTCAAAACAATGCTTGGCTATGGGAATAAGCAAATGAAAGTGTTTTCACTCTTTATGTGGGGTTAATCCGACGAGTTTGTTGTGCATGAATTGCTTAGGTCGCGCTCATTGCCTATCTCTACAGAGTGTGTGAGTGCCAATTCGTGTGAGTGGCTAGATTTCTCATTTTGAGGCACCGCATGCAACGAGAGGCAAAACCAACAGGCAGCATTAACGCTACGAAAGATGGAGGTTGTTTTGGCCTGCTTTTCGGGTCAGATGTGTCTTGTTTTTTTTTTGTTTGGATCTTCTGTAAACAAAAAAAATAACTGTTAGCCTTTAGCGGAATTGGGGAGACTTCACTCCGATTACGACGACTTACATGCCATTCAGCCTTGTGTCGTGCATCTTCACCCTGGACCTGTAGACGAGAAGAGGGGCTTGAAAGGAATGGGCATAAGCTGGAGGTGACCAAATGACCTCGGCTTTTCCTATTGTGTCTTTGCATACCTTGACGCTTGTTCGATTCGGAATACATGTCGCGAACCGTTGCGCCCGAATAAGCTTGGGGGTGAGGCTCTGATGCACTTTGTGAATTGTCATATCACTAGGACTTGGTTACATTTGGTCTTATGTCAGTTGCATATGAATAAGACTGGTGAACATGCTCGGAGAATTCTTTTCGAAATGATTGGTGCGTGAGACTGATACTCAGCCATGGTGGACATGAACGCTTGTGAATATTGATACAGGTACGCCGATACGCCAAGCGCCCTGTGAAGTATCACGCAGTGATGCAAGACAGAGTAAAGAAGTTAACATGAGTAATCCAAGCCAATCGCCCTTGATGTAGCAGAATATTCACTATCACCACCATGCCGGGCCTCAGTGAGCTGATTCACGGGCACCATTCGAGCATTGCCCTCTTCCTCTGATTCAAGTCTCCTGCTGACCAATCTGAGGGAAATAATACGAAAAATGTCTATAACATGCCGACTATGCGAGCAGGCGTCCTCAGAACTGTATAAACCGGTCGATCCCCCACGATAGCCTGCTCTAGTTTCGATGAGGCTCAACGCCACTCCGCCCTAGCACATAGACACACGCTCAACCATCTATCACCTCACCCAAAAACACGCGTGATATCACCGTACACCTAAGCTGCAACAGGCTGCTCCTCCAGCTTAGTCTCCGCCAGCTTTTCCTGCACATCCTTAACACCAGCATCTTCACCAAACTTGAATCCCTTGACACTGACATCCGTTCCACCCGCGAGGTAATCCTCGCTCTCGCCAATCTCCTTGCCAGCTGCCTCCCACCGTCGGTACTTTTCGTCACGCTTCTGGCGGCACAGCTCGTTCAGCGCTGGCCAGTATGTCTCGTGGTCATACTCAAAGTCCATATCACCGCCCCAGTCGAGGCTCCACAGCTGCTCAGGAGGAACGTACTGCTTCATGTCTTCATTGAACTTGAGCTTCTCGCGCGTCACGGGGTCGATGAAGGGGGTGATGATTTTGAAGAAGCCCCATACGATCCACGGTACTGATATTGTCAGTTCTGTTCTTCGTTACAAGAGATACACAGTACTCACCGTTGATGATAAGAGCCTTGCCTAGTCTCTCAGGATAGTGGTTCTGCAGAATATGCAACACCTCTCGCGCAACAGATACAGGCACACTCGTGTTCTTGCGCTCCTTGCTGGGCTTGAAATTGATCATGAGGCTCAGCATCTCCACTCCAGGCGGCATAAGATCCGTCACCCGCTCGACCATGTAGAACAAGTGATGCAGCTGTCGGGGACTGGTATCCGTGTTTTGTCTCGCCGGGTTAAGATACTGACAGGGCCGACCCTGACGATCATACCCAATGATCATTTGCTTTCCAGTCTCCTGCTCGGGTGAAATGTACTCAGGCGTGAAACCCTCAAGACCGTACTCTCGACGCCATGCGAGAGTTGCCTTGAGCCGCTTGGCAGAGTCGTCGACTGACCACTTTGTAGCGCGGAGATAACGGAGTAGACACTCGCGGGTGAGCCATGAGCGCTCGTGATCAGTGATGGGGCCTGATTTGTCCTCCTCATCGGCCTTCTTCTCGCATTGGATCTCGGTGATACCCTTGACTTGCTCTAGCAGAGCCTCATACTTTGTCTTTTGCTCATCTGTCAATTCCGGCCTTGGGAGAGGTTTGCTATTGGGTCCTGGGCTGGCAATTGGTGTCTTTCGAGGACCAGCCGTGTTTTCTGTTGAGCTCGCCATTTTCAGGACTTTTCTTGAGGTCGAGCTTTGAAAGGGTGAAGGAGATAAGTTGAGTCTCACCGCTCGATCAACCTGAGTAATTAGTCAAGGCTGACGAGTCTATGATGAGCAAATCCGCCAAAAAATGTCCGTAGAGACTCCAATTCTAATCTCTTGTCAGTCTCTTTCAACTGATACAATCAACGGAAACAGGATTGGAGAAAGAATTCAAAATCAATCTCTCATCTCAGCTCAGGAGAAGATAAATTGATGGCTTTATCTATTCACGAATTAGGTGACTTGGCAACGGGCTCAACAAGGAGCCGCACACGAGCCAGCCAATCCCCTTCCAATCCCACAACGAATTGACCTGCGGGAACGGCTTCCGCTGGCTGCGATTGCAGGGGCATTCCAGTAATTTTCAGGGGACTTCGGATGATGCGGGGCGTCTATCCTCCATCCATCGCGCGAAGTTGGCCTCCAGCTTGAGACAAATGCAGGCTGACATGCATTTTGATGTATGTAGCCGCTCCAAAGCTCGTAATCGTATTCTTTATACCAACACTTATCATTAACTTGCGTTGGTCGGGTATTTCGTATTTCGCTTCCAACAAACGTTGTAGCCGCCAGCGTGATAATATTGATGTAGACCACTTACAAACGAGTTACCCTATTCTCCTGGATATCGGGATGCACAGGTCGATAATGATGCATTATGGCATGATCAATCTCGCTTTAGGGTGAATTGACTTTATAATCTCAGTAGAGCTTCCGAAATCTACACTTGAGATAACCGAACGAGGGCAGCTCACCGCTAGAGCTGATCATATCTGTCAGCTCCAGTCACTTGATGTTGGGAGCTATAAGTCAACATTCAAAGTCACATACTAGGCTGCCCGACACTTCAATGTCTTATATTTTCCTTTATCTCATCTTTCATCATCAGCTGTTCCCAGTATCTCTTTCTTCTTGGGTGACCAAACGTCTATCATAAATGTCCACAATCCTCTCATGTGCCCATGTCAATGTCTAAAGTACTTCCAGCTATCAACAAAGACAAGAAATGTAGTAAAAACAACTAGTCTATCGCCTGCGCACGCCCTTATCCGTGATACTCACCATCACATCCGCATTCCTTGAGAAGTCTCCCCAACCTGCTTTTTACTCCGATAAATCATCAATCCAACTCGTTCATACGCCTCTTATGTCTTTCTTTTCTGTGCTGTGTTTTAGCAATGAAGACGACTTTGCCGTCTGGGTATTGAGTAGATAACTAGGCGCGAACGGGACTGCGGTTGTCACGTCTCGCTGACTTCTCTCTAATGAGCCTCTTGCTCGTCTCTTCGTCAAAGCCGCAAATATCCCTTAAGAACAAAAGTCTGTTTTCTTGTTAGTTCGGCACAGTCGATGAAGCACGTTCAAACTCACTTGTCTTCGGACGTTTCCTTCTCCCGCATATCTTCGAAGCTCTGTTGGCTTTCCATCCAAGCTGTTGCTCGACCTCTTGGATCGACCTTCTTGACCCAGAGGTTGAAAGCTCCAGTTACAGGACGGTGGTCACTCACTCGGACCTCATGCCGTCTGTAATCATATTGCTCAACACGGCCTCGTCCTCTGTATAGGAGTCGATCACACCAGGCAGGGCTTCGTCTCTTCTCGCTGGTGTCGTAGTTGTCAGTACCAACGTCGTACTTGTAAGTTGGCGCGAATGTAATGGGCATTTCTTCAAAGGCTCGAAGCTTGAATGCTGGGTTTCGTCTTCGTGCCACCAGAAGCTGATCTCGTTCGAGAAGTTTGCCCAGATTGTTCTGTTTGACTGCTGTGACAACAGTATCACGAGACATGGTGTCAATTCTATAGTTCAAGTCGCCATTGAGAATACACAGCTCATGATCCATGATTAGACTGCCATCACCGCCACCAACGAAGCTGTCAATGCGAGCTGCAGAATCTCGTTCAACAGCAAATAAATTAGCTTCAAGAATGGCAGCAATGTCATTGTGTCGGGCGTTCGCTTGTGACTGTCCGGCAGCCAAATGACAATTGACGAGACAGATGGAAGTGTCATCAACTCGGAAGCGTACCGCAACACAGCCCTTGTTACCGTGCAAACCACCCATTCCTCGCTTGACTTCGGCGCCTTGGAGGCCCCTGATCCTGTCGCGCAGGGTTGCCTTCACAAAGACACAGGTAAACAACCCAACCATAGGCGCTGTGTGAAGGAGGTGATATAAATCGTCTGCTGGCATGTAGTCATCGAGGGTCTTCATCAAAAAGTCACGCCAGTCTCGATACTGGTGGCTCATTCGTTCCTGGTCTGTTCCGGCTTCTTTCTTCTTGGGCTTCAAGAATCGCTTGGCCGTCAACTTCTTGTCCTCCAAGTCCACGAGTTCCTGGAAACCAAACACAAGGATATCTGGCGAACCGCTTGACTGAACAAGATCCTGAAAGAATGTCGAATCGCCACCGGAATGTCGTAGACTCGAAGGCGTCGATGCTCCAGCATTCCAAGTAAAGAATAGGGCTCGGATTTCGTCGAAGTCGCAGTATTGAGTATCTTTCGACTTCATTGAATCTTCGAGGAAGTCATCCTCAAGCAAGCCATCCCATGCCTTGATCTTGTTATCAGCCCCCAAAGAAATGATTTGCTGTCGATCCAGGAAATATGAGCAAGAGGGGTCGGCGGCCATCTTGACAATGGGATTTTCATGCCCCTGCCACTCTTTGAGAATGACCCAAGGTGCCTCTTCCACGTCATACACACATATTTTACCCGTGTTATATGCCGCCCAGATGTAGTTACCTGCACTCGCTAGTGCGTTGATCTTCCATGTGCTGATATTCATCATCATCACACATGAATAGTCATTGGTATTGTAGACAGTCACCTTGCCGTCCACATGACCAAAGAAGACCTTATCCGGATGCGACTTGACAAGAGTGCCTGAAGTAACCTCGCCGGCATTATCCGCTATCAGGGGACGAACGAGCACTTGGAATTGGGTTCGCCCATCGGCTGTAGGCGCGAATACTCGAATCTCCTTGCCTGTCGCATGCCAAAGATAATCCCCAATAACCATGGAATGTGTGTGTCCTTTTGGAAGCTTGTAGCTCTGAGTGGGATGTCCTGTAATGTTTGCAACTGCTTTCTCATCCGGTCCCCACACAAGTAGTGTTCCTGATTCATCCATAGTCCAGATTTCGTTCCAATGCCTGAATATTCGTACAACTTCGTTTCGACCATGGACATTTGGCTTGCTTGGTGTTATGGCATGTGTCGCCACCTCGACTTCCATGAGGTCTCCTGTATTGGTACCGATCCATAGCTTCTTGCCTTCTTCTCGCGGATCAGCAGCAGGTTTGAAGCTTACCGCGGTCGCCTTGACTCCCTCAGTATGCTGCAAGCTCATGATTTGCTCGCCGTCAATGAGACTCCAAACTCTTGTCATGTAACCACTGGCGCAAATAAATTCACCACAAACGTCGAAACTTCTCGCATCATACTTTGTTGGAATCTCATAAGTTCCATGCTTGCTGAAGGGTGGTCGTCGATTGGTGTTTGAAGCCTCGGGATATGTCGTGACGTGATGGATAGGCTCAGCCTTTGGAGCAATCTTTGCGGCAACTACTGGAGTGGACTGTACAGACTTTGGAGGTGTGGCAGCAGCAATCGGGGCGGCAACGGTCGTCGGGGCAATACGGAACTCGGCTGGTGTTCGGTCAGATGCTCTATCTATCGTCATAGACCTGCCATGACCTCGTGAAGGAGCCGCAAGCTGTTGCTGAGGTTGCTGTGTCGTAGGCGTTGAAACCACTCGCTTGGGGGGTGAAGAAGTAGGCGCCGGATCGACGGCTTGCACTGCTGTCGTTGCAGCTGGGCGTTGTGGTCGTGGGGGAGGTGGCATGCTATTACTATTATTGTTTACTGGAGGAGGTCGAGGCGGGATGTCAAAGTTTGTAGGTCTTGCTGGTAGTGCTGGCCGAGGCTCGCCAGTTACCTGAGGAGTTATATTGCCTCTTGAGAACCCATTGGCCTCTTCACGATCCTTTCTCATAGTCGTGATCGAATGATGAACAGGCGGAGGATCAAAACCCACAACCACAGATTTTGGCCTGCTTGGTTCAATGTGCGATTGTGGCCTTGGCCGTGTTGGTAGTTTTGGAGGTGTCTCCTCTCCAGATCCCAAGCTACTCGGGGGACTGTTAAACGGCGAGTTTTCCTGGGAGATGCTGCCCTTCCCAATGACTGTTGGCCCAGAAAGAGATGTGATCTTGGGAGGCGCAGGTATCAGTGCCTTTTCATTGCGAGGGGCTGGCGGCGGCGGAGGAACCTTGGGTTCTCGAGTCCTGATCAGCTCCCCAGAACGTCTAGGTGGAGGCGGTGACGGTGGCCTCGAACCGCCAGGGCGAGGAGACTTAGGAGTACTGAGAGATGGTGAAGTATTAAGTGATCGACTTGGAATCTTGAATGATCGGCTACCGCCGGTTGGTGTTTGAGGTGTCGCGACAGCATCTGGGTTTACGAATGAAGGCTGGTCTCCAACTGCGAGTGCTGATATTCGACCCTTGGGTGGTGATTGAGGTGGAAGAACTGTCACAGCTGGAAGCGTAGCCGATGCAGGTGGTTGTTGCAGCTGAACTGGTTGTGGTTTCGGGGTCGGAGCTGGTCGTGCGGACGTCGGTGGGGGAGGGGCATCGTGATTCACAGACAGTGCCGCTGGTTTAGGCTTTGGTCTCGCAGGGATTGCTGGGGTCGAAGGACTGGCCGGCGGCACTTCTTGTCCAGGCTTGAAATCACGTAGACGGTTCGGTTTGGGAGCTGGGGAGATAGGCCGTGAAGGAGGCCCGGTGGCAGCTGGAGCTGTAGGAGGTGGAACATCGACAGGTTTGCTGACGTTGGAGTTGGTCGAGTTGCCCATGTTCTCAAATCGGGCTCGTAACGAGGATACCGGCTTCTGCAGGACTGTTAGCTTTATAGATACCTGAGACAATGGGAGGCCATACAAGTGAAGAGCCATCAG